ACATGCTTCCAGAGTAAAGAGTATCCCGGAACCACCAAGAGACCGAGAGCAACAGTCAGAACTAGGAAAGGAGAGAGATTCATCAACACCCTCCAACCTTCAGGATGCCACTTCATCCAGAGATGGCTTGGAAGAACTTCCTTTTGATTGGTTGTCTCAGTGCAGGGGCGGACTGACCATTTGCAAAACTCGGGCCCTGCCCGAGGGCCCGGGGTCAGTAGGGGGCCCCTGAGATGCCCCTGGTACCTTTTTCATAACCGTTTTTTGAGTTTGGGCAAGGACAAAGGGCCCCATGATCCCCTATTGCCCGGGGGCCCCATGAGTTGTCAGTCCGCCCCTGTCTCAGTGATAATTTTTTCAGTGGTTTACTGGGCTTGCCACTGTTATTATCACCCGAATGAATGGCCGCCAATTTGTGGCCATAACAGTGAAGCTATGAATGACACTAAACTAATAAAAAGGGAGCAAAAAGGATCATTGACTGAAAATATGTCACTGTTAAAATTTAAGTACAGGTATGCCAAGCTCTCCTTTGTCTGCGGCTCCTAAAAATATGATATCAATGTTTATATGTAATCTGAGTATTATCCTTACAAATGTTACTACAAAGCCTAAATCTGAAGTGTTGGGAGATTTGATGGAACCTGAGTGGTGTTTTCATTTAGGTAATACATCAAATGAAGGGGAAGAATTTTGTAGTAAGTCTAAACTTAACTTTTCTGGGAAGATACCTTAGAATGGTAACTTGTACAAGTAAATACCACTAAGAATAGATGGAAAAAATATATAGAAAACATAACTAGTAACATATAAAAAACAGGAAGTATTATGGTTTAGGCTGAGTATTTATTAACTTAGCTTTAGTTGGTTACCCTAGTCCAAATTATGCAAAGCATGGAAGAATTGCTCAATTCTGAGGAAAATATTATGGAATCACCATTTACTTTGCAGTTCTAAAATAAACATCTGTACCAGATTACATCTGCTAATTAGTCTGCAGTTAAAAAAGAGTGCATGCACAGCTCGGTGAGCTGTTGCACCAAGCTGATTGACATGAATAATGGCTCTAACACGAGAGATGTCAGTTGAAACACAGGAGAGGATTATAAAACTTCTTCATGAAGGTAAGTCATCACGGAATGTTGCAGAAGATGTTGGTTGTTCCCAGTCAGCTGTGTCTAAAATCTGGACCAAGTACAAATCAAATGGGAAGGTTGTAAAAGGGAAGCGTACTGGTAGACCAAGGAAGACATCAAAGCATCAAGATAGAAAACTTAAAGCAATGTGCCTTGACAACAACAAATGCACAACAAAACAAATGAGGAACAAATGGCAGAAACCAGAGTCAATGTCTGTGACCGAACTGTAAGACATCGCCTAAAGAAATGAGATTTACATACAGAAAAGCCAAACGAAAACCATCATTAACACCTAAACAGAAAAAAAGTTACAGCGAGATCAAGAACAGCAATTATGGACTGTGGATCACAGGATGAATCACGAATCTGCATTGGGCAGGGTGATGAGGCTGGAACTTTTGTTTGGTGCTGTTCTAATGAAATATATAAAGACGGTTGCCTGAAGAAAACATGCACATTTCCACAATCATTGATGATATGGGGTTGCATGTCAGGTAAATGTACGGGGGAGATGACAGTCATTAAATCTTCAATAAATGCACAAGTTTATATTGAGATTTTGGACAATTTTGTTATTCCATCAACTGAAAGGATGTTTGGTGATGATGACATATATTTTCAGGATGATAATACATCTTGCCATAGGGCAAAAGCCATGAAAACGTTCCTTCAAGAAAGACATACAATCTCAATTGCATGGCCTGCAAATAGTCCGGACCTCAATCCAACTGAAAATCTATGGTGGAAATGAAAGAAAATGGTCCATGACAAGGCTCTAACCTGCAAAGTTGATCTAGCAACTGCAGTAGGAGAAATTTGGAGCCAGATTGATGAAGAATATTGATAGTTAAATCCATGCCTCAGAGAATTCAAGCTGTTACAAAAGCCAAAGGTGGTGCAACAAAGTACTAGTGGTGTACTGTAGTGTTTTTTTTCATGATTCCAAAATATTTTCCTCAGAAGTGAGTGATTCCATATTTTTTCCTCTGCTTGATCTGCAAAAACAGTTGCAACTGACTACAGTTTTCTTTCTTTTTATTTTTTTTAAGTGTTTCTTAAATCCAGATGGTTGGAATGTTAAATGAAAATAGTTTTGAGGCCTGTCTATGATTAGTTTTTCTCTACACAATTAAACAGTTGAATGAACATTTTTCAAGAGTGATGATTCCATACTTTTTGCCAGGGGTTGTATTAAACCCTCAGCGTTTTTAGCTTTCATAGTGAGCACCAGCTTAAACAGGAACATAGGTATGGATAAAAATATAAATAAGCTGCATGCTCAGTAAGTGATCAAATCAGCTGCTGAAAGTAACTGGAAAAATGAAGAGTTTAATAACACTTTAAGCATCTTAGCAGCTACCAGCAGTTGCCGATACTGAACCCAGGCTCTATCGGGTCTCCAGGGGGGCCTTGACTCTCTATCAGGTGCAGTGTGTCTCTAATGCGCTGCCTAGAGCCTCCTGAGACTAGCAGTCGACAGGGACTCTCTCAGAGCTGAGCAGCTTCTCCTTAGGATGACAGAGGTGGTGGGCAAGATAGGGATGTGCGGCCAACTTCTCCCCTGTGCACAGGCGACTGCTCAGGCTGATCTAGCAGCTGAGTATGGGATTGTTGGAGGAGTAGAGATAGTAGCCTGGGGAGTCTTTCACCTCCAGCCAAGAGGTAGGTGGCTGATGGTGAGAGGTTTTTCCCCTGCTGGAATTCTCTCCATATTTGCTGCTTCAGGCACCTACCTTGGCTGCTGCATTGCACAAAACAGCTGGGGAACTGCTTCCTGCCCTGCCACTACCATACTGCTCACTGGCTGCCCTGCCCCTACATGCTGCTCACTGACTGTCCCACCCCTACATACTGCTCACAGACTGCCCTGCCTCCACATACTGCTTAGTGTCTGCCCTGCCCCTACATACTACTCACTGTCTACCCTGCCCCTACATACTGCTCACTGAATGCCCTAACCCTGCATACTGCTCATTGACTGTCCCACCCCTACATACTGCTTACTGATTGTCCTACCCATACATACTGCTTACTGACTGTCCTACCCCTATATACTGCTCCCTGACTGCCCTGCCCCTGTGACGATCGCAGTGCCAGACCCCTGCCCTTCTCACCAAACTCGTGACCGAAGGACTAGCCAATCTAAAACCGCGATGTCACGCGCATAACAATGTCACGCCCAGCTGCACCCTGCCCAACGATTTTCCAGCTAATGGACCACAAATCGATGTACCGGCAGCCTGAGTGCGATTGTTACGGATTCAGGTTAATTACGCAATTAACCCTTCACACTGCCACCACCTCCTTTTTGTACAGAGAAAGAGGAAACTCGGCAATATCAGCAATAACACTAGGATGATTGAATAATCATCTGGATACCACTGTCACCGCAGACAGGCTATACAGAGGGTTAAAAACACATAGTAGCGCTCTTCAGCGGCAGGAATTCGTAAGTTGCATTAAAGAGCTATAGAAACAGTTCAACACTTTCAGAAGGAAAGATTTATTACTAAAAGGTCAAAAGGGTGCAATAAAAATATTTACAGAAAAAAGATGTAACCAATATATATATAAATACAGAGAGCTGTGCTCTGGCCTGCCTGTGACACTTCCAACACACATCGACCACATGTCACTGTGGATCTCAGAGAGGGAGGGGATGAGGAAGATATATTTGTATAAGATGGATGAACCTTTTCCAAGATGGAGGTTGGAGCAAAATGGTTGAACCGTGTCCATCTATGTGGGTACGACAGGTTGTCCATCTTTGTGGGTAACGATTGCTACAGCCCCTACATACTGCTCACTGACTGCCCTGCTCCTACATATAGCTCACTGAATACCCTACCCCTACATACTAATCACTGACTGCCCTGCCCCCACATACTGATCACTAACTATCCTACCCCTACATACTGATCACTGACTGCCCTGTCCCTACATACTGCTCACTGAATACCCTACCCCTACATACAGATCACTGACTGTCCTACCTCTACATACTGCTCACTGACTGCCCTGCCCCTACATACTGCTCACTGACTGCCCTACCCCTACATACTGCTCACTGACTGCCCTATCATTACATCTTGCCCATTGACTTTCCTATGACTACAGACTGCTCCCTATCCTGCCACTGTATAATGTTCACTTACTGCGAGTACACACAACTCATGGCCTGCTCTACATTGCATTTTTTACTTATATATTCTGATCAATACATGCTGGTCACTGCCCTGCACTTTTCTACTTCTGAATACCACTCCACAGCTTTGTACTGCCATTTTTTACTGCTCACTGCCCTGCACTGCATACTGCTCACCGTACTTTCTCTATGTACTGCCCTGCACTGACACTACATACCGCGACAACACATAGCACACACTAGTATAGACAGTCACACTGAGCAGGGGAGGGGGGGTCCTGTCAGGTAGGCTATATCAAGCCCCATGATTTCCAATGGTGGTCCTGCAGCCATCTCTCTTGTCATTTCCCAACTCTAAAACATATTCAACTCCTTTAGAAATAGGTTTATTTAAAAAAAAGTAGAGCTTAAAGGGACACAATCAATGTTATTGCCATTACTTTATATGAATGTATTTACTACAGAAAATACAAGATGAAAAATACAAGTAGCAGCATTACAAATCATTTAAAAATATGTAATATTGCAGTGTTATTTGTTGAGGAATACCATTGCACATTTACAGTATTGCACATGGTTAAGAAGAACAAGATAGACAATGTATCATTTATTGTAAGGTAAGGTATTTTTTTCAGGAAATGCTAAATACTATTCTTGTAGCTAATATCTAGGTGTAGAACATCTTCTGCTGTGTTGAAGTTCTGAAGTTGGATATTTTAACCTTTCATTGATTTGTACTCGCATGAAATGGATGGGTCATCTTTTCGAGTCACTTTGTAATTACATGATTCCTCATCAAACATCAAGTTACATGCCTCTTTGTCATAGCCAGATGGTATAGAAGCACTGTCAAAGAAAAGAGAAATATTACTCGATAATGTATAAACAATGAGGTTGACTTACTAAAGAAGGAGAGATTGCTCCCTTTGAAAAGTAAATTTTTAATGTGAAAATAGGATGATCACTTTGCTTATTGAATAAGGTGAAACTTCAAAGTTCACTTTACTTATCTAATCATTTGCAAGGGAAAGCAAAAAAAAAAAACAGGACCTTTGCTTGCACTTTATTGGATGATCAAAGTAAATAGAGCTTCACCTTATTCACTAAACTAAATAAACATTCTCAGCTCCTTTAGTAAATCACCCCTCAATGCATACTGATACAAAGTGCATGGTGTAAGGTGTATAAATCTGAGTCATCACTCTATTCTGATCCCTTTAGGTTCATGTTTCCTCCACAGTTTGGTATTAAAAGAAAAATTTCTGTCTGATGACAGACGTTTTCAGAGCAGCTGGAACAAAGCTAGATTAGATTGAGCCTTTGGAAACTGTATTAAAGATGAGTTCCACCTGAAAAAAAAAAATAAAAGTCAGCAGCTACAAAAAGTGTAGCTGCTGACTCTTAAAATACAGCCACTTACCTGTCCTTTGGTCCAGCACTGTCCTCACCACCGCTGGTTTCACCGGCCGTCTTCTCTCCCTGGCGCCGGCATCTTTCAATGAAGCAGCTGGAAGCCGCAGCTCCTCCTCTCCCTCCTGCGGCTTCCAGCTGCTTAATTGAAAGACATACAGGAGATCGCTGTTTGTCATTGCCCCCACCACTGCCACCATTACTAGTAGAAAAAAAAAAATCCCAGTATCTATACAGCCATTTGTAAACACTATAACTTTCACGTAAACCAATTAATTTACACGTATTGGTATTTTTTGTTTAGCAAAGACATATTGCAGAATACATTTTGGACTAAATTTATGATGAAATTTGATTTTTTTTATTTTTTTACTGCACATGTTTAATAGCAAACAGTCTGAAATATTGTTTTTTTTCTCAAAATTGTTGGTCTTTTTCTTATAGCACAAAAAATAAAAAACTCACAGGTGATCAAATACTACCGAAAGAAAGCTCAATTCGTAGGCAAAAAAAGGCTGTAAAGGTCATTTGGGAGCAGCATTGCAAGACCACATAATTACCAGTTAAATTAGCGCAGTGCCGTAACACAAAAAATGGCCTAGTCAGGCAGGGGGGATAAATCCTTAGGAGGGTAAGTGGTTAAAGTGTTACTAAATCCACAACAGTAAAATCAGCCTGTATATGCATATAGACTACATTCTATTCAGTCCCATAGAATGTAGTGTCCACAGCCCCAGCATTGCTTTCCAGACCCCCCCCCCCCCCCTCAATCTCAAAGGACTCCTTCTCTAGCCCCCTGTGAACAACAGCAAGGCATTTTCTTACTTCTACTGACTCTGATGAGACATTTTTTTCCCCACCACTGACAAGGCACTGACCACTGATGTTAGGTTTTTTTCCTCCTACTGACAATTAACACCAGAGCATTTTATCCCTATCATTGATGACTGGCACTAGGACATAATTTCCTCCTATTAGCCACTGGCACCAGGAAATAATTTTCTTTTGTTGGCCACTGACACCAGGAAATAATTTTCTCTTGTTGGCCACTGACACCAGAACATAATTTTCTCCTATTGCCTACTGACACCAGAACATAATTTTCTCCTACTGCCTACTGACACCAGAACATAATTTTCTCCTACTGCCTACTGACACCAGAACATAATTTTCTCCTACTGCCCATTGACACCAGAACATAATTTACTCCTGCTGACACAGGATATAACTTTCTCCTACTGACACCAGGACATACTTTTTTTCTTACTGACCACTAACACCAGAACATCATTTTTTTTTTCCACTGACCACTGACAGCAGGACATAATTTTCTGCCTCTGACCACTGACAGTAGCGCATTTTTTTCTTTTTGACCACCAATGTGGAGAGCAGGTTTTTTTCTGCCTTCCATTGATTGACAGGCTTTTTTCTCTCCAACTGATCATTGCTTTTTTTGCCTTACCCCTTGTTTCAAGAAAATGAATGCTGACCGCTGGGTTGTGTACCACAAAGGCATGCTAATGGGAGGTCTACTATATATTTAATTATGGAACTCTGTGATTATTAATTACACCCCTGTTCTTTAGCATTGTATTGTAATGGGACCAGGGGCGGACTGACCATTTGAAAACTCGGGCACTGCCCGAGTGCCCGGGGTCAGTAGGGGGCCCCATTAGATGCCCCTGGTACCTTTTTCATAGGCTTTTTTGAGTTTGGGCAAGGACACAGGGGCCCCATGATCCCCTATTGCCCGGGGGCCTCATGAGTTGTCAGTCCGCCCCTGAATGGGATAACATTAAATGTAAAGGTTTTACTTTTTCCCATCTGTTAGAACAGTCATTTTTTAAATAACTTACTGTGTTTTTGTTTGGCAGGATGTTTTACATGCCCCAGGTTATAGAATAAGGAAGCAAAGTATATTCCTTTTTAGTTGTGAGTCCATACAACAATAAGAAAAAACTATTTAAATTTTTCAAGAATTTGGCAGCATACCTGGAGCAACAGTATAACCCACTCTCTGAACACATGCAGTCTTCACATTTGACATTCCACTCAGTATTCATTTTATGAAATGTACCCTGGTACATACACCCTAGAAGAAGAAATATAACAGATTAAAGCCAATTTCTCAGCAGGACGGAGTTGGGGGATGGGGGCAAAGGTTTGATGGTTATGAGAATTTTGCTAGAAAGGAGATTTAAATAATAGATTTGCAGCTACCAACACATTTTGAGGACTATATTAAAAATGCATTTCATGGAAAATTCAAGAGGTACTTTTCAAAGGCAACTAATATCAGGTGTTTTGTCCTGATCTAAAGAAAGCAGCCATTGGTCTTAAACTGGGCATACATGCATTGAAATTCGGCTGATTGTGGTTGTACGGAAATAAATCTACCTATTGACTTCTGTACAACCACCCTTGAAGATTTTCTCCGCTCGATCAGCACTGCAGGCTATAGCTTTCAATGCTGAGCAGTGTATTATTACAGTGGGGAGGCCTCCCCGCTGGTTGAATGAAAAAAAAAAAAGGCTCATCCATGGGCTACATTATACTGTGAATTACTAAAGCTATCAGTCATCAGAAAGGTGAATGTTTGAAGGAAAGAATACTACTTGTGTATCAAAGGACCTGATTTATCTAAGCATCAGCCAAGGTGAAATAAGGTGATGTGGAGTGTACTAAGGAGTGAAGTAGAGTTAAAGTGATACCAAAAACATTTTTTACCTTAATACATTCCTTGCATAAAGGTAAAAAATATTTTCTATTTCTCTGGCCTTTTTCTTCTCTGTGTGAAGGGGAAGAGAGAGAATAGATCCAGCACTGTACATGGCTGCATCTCCACTCCCCTCTCTTCCTCTCCACGCAGAGACTCGAGCAGCAGTAGGAGCCATTGGCTCTTGCTGCTGTCGATCAAATGCAGTGAAGAGGAAGTGGTGGTGGGGCTAAGTCCCACTATGTAAGTCTATGGAGCGCGGCTCCATAGACACACAGCTCGGGAGTGAGCGAACACTGTGTGCCCCCATAGAAAACGACTTGCTATGGGAAAACACAAAGAACAGGAAGAGCCAAGATCACTGGCATAGGACCCAAGAAGAGGAGGATGGTGGGTAGCTCTGTGTAATACCACTGCACAGAGCTGGTATGTATAACATGTTTGTAATTTTAATTTTAAAAAAATTCAGACTTTAGTAACACTTTAAAGCTGAATTTTAGGCAGTTATAAAAATACAATTTAACCTCTTAGCATCAGCACCTTCTGGTCCTTTAAGGGTTTTTTGATGCCGGGAGGTGTTTATGAACATGTGACCGCCATGATTGGCTGTCACAGCGGTCACATGATTGGAAAGCTCCCTATTGCAAGTAGCGATCAGGAGCTTTCCGTTAGGTGCCTGTAACTGTGCCAGAAGCGCGCAGGGCACGCACTCTCAGCACGTTTGTTTACTTTTTGGTACGCAAAAATGCAAATTCTTGGCATCAAAGCCCACCATCCGCATATTTGTGTACTCTTTGTGCTAAAAGGTTAATGTTGTTGTGTATTCCTTTAAAGGTAATTACAGTAAATATATTTTGATTGCCTGAATCTATGTTGATATCAGCCTCCTGTCATTATTTGCACAGCAAAACATAAAGCAAGAGAAGGAGGGAAACTAATCAGCTTCTGCTGCATTGTGATGTGCTATGAGGGAACATTCTGACAGGAGGAGAGAACAGAGTTGATGACCTATAAGTGTGTGGCTGTTCACTCATTGTCCAACCAGTAAGCTGCAGGTGAGGAGGTAACACCAATGTATTCTTTAACTATAACACAGAAAGAGGTGTCACCCAGGCTGTGCTGTTCCGTAGAAGTGTATGGATCACACAAGTGGCTTAAAAGAAATACAACATTTACATATGTGCATTTTAACCGAGTACTTGATTGCATGGATTTATAGCACAGAATCCGTTAATAAATAAGATATTAATTTATTTTTGTAAAAAACCTGCCAACTGTACACTTAACCAGAAATGAAGTGTTAGTAGGTTGCTGAGTTACTTATAGATAAAAAAAATTTTTTTCCTGATGAATGATACACGATTTGAGCGATTTTTGCAGGTGGCCAATAGAGTAGTCAGAAGATAAACCAACAAGGCATGTTAAGAATTGCAGTGGTACAGAATAAAAGGCGATATGATTTGATGTATGCTGGGACTTGTGCACAAGCATGACAATGCTATGACTTTTACTAGTATAAATAAAAGAGATATGGTGAAAGTTCGAATTTACTTCCATGGAGAAGTAGAGAAAGCAATGTTTGTATTGTGAATGGTTGTGCCAGTAAAGCCCAGTAGAATTAAAGGTTCACAATTTAATTTATCTTGTACTTACCTTTAGTTTTTGTTTTGAAGTTTATATGTAATTTACCCTGTGTACAGGCAGCACTGGTCAGAACCACTGAGACTGCCACCATAATACACACTGTCAATAGGATTCTCTGCAAAAGATGAAGTAAGGTAAAAAACATCAATGTTTTTTTTTTCTCTCAGCTTCAGGAGGAAGTAGAGTATATGACATACATACGATCATACAAAAAAAAAAATGTATATTTTTTTGTCCTGATTATAATAAGAAGGATATATACTGTATATATATATATATATATATATATATATATATATATATATATATATAAAACACTCAAAATTATCCTTATTTTGTTGTTTTTGTCTGAATTATTTTATAAGTCCTATATTCCTCCCCTGAGGCCTCTGTCCATTATGCAGGCTTCTCCTCATCCCACTTCTCCATTTTCTGAGGAACCTGATAAGGTTGCCCTTTTTCCCTGGCCCTCTTCATCTTGGCTCTGGAACCCCTGCTGGTGGCCCTCCATGCCGACCCCAATAATACGGAGATTTCCTATACCGGTGTGTCATACATAGTAAATTTATTTGTAGATGATGCCTTCCTGACCCTTTCTAACTCTATTACCATGCTCCCTAACCTGCATGCCCTGCTGGCCCACTTTGTTGCCATCTCTGGCCTCCAAATCAACCCCCCTAAAATGATAGTCCTGACTAAGGCCAGCACAGTGGCTAAATGGTTAGCACTTCCACCTGGCAGTACTAGGGTCATTGGTTCAAATCCCAACCACTGGCACCACCTTCCTGGAGTTTGCATGTTCTCCCTGTGCCTGCGTGGGTTTCTTCCCACACTCCAAGGACATGCTGGAAGGTGAATTGACTCCTGTCAAAATTGGCCCTAGTGTATGTATGAATGTGAGTTGGGGACCTTAGATTGTATGCCCCTTAAGGGTTAGGGACTTAAGTGAATGTTCAATATATATGTAAAGTGCTGTGTAAATTGACAGCACTATATAAGTACCTGAAATAAATGAATAAGTAACCATCTCCCTTCCAGAAGCTTTGATCTCTCATCTTCAGTCATCCCTCCTATAACACTGGGCAACCTCATCCCTAAACTACTTAAACATCCACCTGGCCTCTTGATTTTTTTCGGCCAACTATTATCCCTTTTCTTCACTTCATCACCTCCCTCATGACCTCCTGGCACTTTCCCTCATTGTCATGGATAGGGTGCATCAATGTGATTAAGATGACTGTGCTCCCTAAGCTCCTATATTTCTTTTGGACCCTCCCAATTAGACTCCTTGCTTTTTTTCTGCGCGCTCTCCAGAATAGGATCATGGCCTTTTTTTGGGCCCATAAGTTCCTCAGAGTGGCCCGTGCCACTCTTTTTGCCCACAGGTTGAGAGGGAAATTCTTGTCTCTGCTTGTGAATGGGTATCAAGGATGGTAAAGAGAGTGTTTCCATAAAGTTGATTTACTAAAGGCAAATGGACAGTTCACTTTGCAAGTTACATAGTTAGTCTGGCTAAAAAAAGACAAAGGTCCATCCAGTTCAACCAATAAAAAAAAAAGTTATAATCCTACACCCACAGTTGATGCACAGGAAGGCGAAAAAAAAAACCCAGCAAAGCATGATCTAATTTGCTCCTGTAGGGGAAAAAATTCCTTCCTGATCCCCTGAGAGGCAATCAGATATTTCCTGGATCAACTTTACCTATAATTGTTAGTATCCAGTTATATTCTGTGTATCTAAGAAATAATCCAGGCCTTTTATAAAGCAATCCACTGAGCTGGCCAGAACCAACTCTTGAGGGAGTCTATTCCATATTTCACAGCTCTCACTGTGAAGAAACCCTTCCGTGTTTGGAGATTAAATTTCTTTTCCTCCAGATGTAAAGAGTGCCCCCTTGTCCTCTGTGATGACCTCAGGGTGAATAACTCTACACTGAGTTCACTATATGAACCACTGATGTATTTATACATATTGATCATATCCCCCCTTAATCTCCTCTTCTCAAGAGAGAATAAATTCAGTTCCTCTAATCTTTCCTCATAGCTGAGCTACTCCATGGCTTTTATCAGTTTGGTTGCCCTTCTCTGTACTTTCTCCAGTTTCCCAATATTCTTTTTGAGAATTGCTGCCCGAAACTGAACTGCATATTCCCAATGAGGTATTACTAAAGATTTATATAGGGGTAATATGATATCTCTCTCTCTGGAGTCTATACCTCTTTTAATACAAGAGAGGATTTTGCTCACTTTAGAAACTGCAACTTGGCATTGCATGCCATTATTAAGCTTGTGATCTACCAGAACTCCCAGATCCTTCTCCACCATTGATTCCCCCAGTTGTACCCCCACTAGTATGTATGATGCATGCATATTCCTAACCCCCAAGTGCATAACCTTACATTTATCAACATTAAACCTCATTTGCCACATAGTTGCCCAATTAAACAGTGCATTGAGGTCGGCTTGTAAAGTGGAGACATCCTGTAAGGACGTTATTCCACTGCACAGCTTGGTGTCATCTGCAAAGACTGAAATGGGATTTGTAATCACAGACCCTATATCATTTCTAAATATATTAAAAAGTAAGGGTCCCAACACTGAACCCTGGGGTACACCACTGACAACCCTAGACCATTCAGAGTATGAATCATTAACTACTACTCTCTGAATACGATCTTTTAGCCAGTTTTCTATCCATTTACATATAAATCTTTCCAAGTCCGTAGACTTTACCTTACACATTAGCCGTGTGTGAGCAACTGTGTCAAAACACTTTTGCAAAATCCAAGTATACCACGTCCATCGCCACCCCTCTGTCCAAGGTTTGGCTCACCCCCTCATAAAAAGAAATCAGATTTGTTTGACAACTTTGTCTTTCATGAATCCACTGCTGTCTGTTGCTTAAAATATTTTTTTCCAGCAAGAACTCATCTATGTGGTCTTTTATTAAACTCTCCAATATCTTCCCAACTATAGAAGTTAAGCTAACAGGTCTGTAATTACTTGGTAAAGATTTTGACCCCTTTTTAAATATTGGCACCACATTGGCATTACGGCAATCCAGTGGTACTATGCCAGTCATTAAACAGTCCCTAAAAATTAGAAACAATGGCTTTGAAATGACAGAGCTCTATACTTTAACCTTTTCACGCCGGCCGCACGCAAATGTGCGACCTCCCGGCGTCTGGGCCTTGACGCCGAGCGGCTGCACATTTGCGTGCAATTAACAAAACATATGTGCTGAGAGCACGCGCTCCCAGCACACATGTCCGATACTCACGGAAAGGTCCCAAACTCCTCTTTCGATTGGGACTTTTAGCGATCATGTGACCGCCGTGACGGCGAATCACGGCGGTCACATGACCTTAAAACCCCGTCCCACTTCCCGGCTTCTGGAACCCTTAAAGGGCCGTGAAGCGCCGGCGCCAAAGGGGTTAAGGACCCGGGGGTGTATGCCATCCGGTTCAGGTGCTTTATTCATCTTTATACTGTCTAAATATTTCTGGATCATAACAATTGTGAGCTAATGTGGATCATCTGGAGCTGTGTCAATACCATGCCGATTATGGACAATAGCCTCCCCATACTCCTTTGTATACACAGAGCTGAAGAAGGTATTTAATAAATTTGCCTTCTCTTTGTCCCCAGTCTCCCACTCTAGATTATTTTGTAAAGGGCCTACATGCTCGGACTGGACCTTTTTACTATTAATAAATTTGAAGAATTTTTTGGGGTTGGTCATGCTATCTTTTACAATCTGTCATTCGTTTTCAATTTTTGCGGCCTTTATTTCCTTTTTGCATATTCTGTTATATACTTTGTAATGTTTAAACGATGATAGCGTTCCTTCATTTTTCTATTTAACCACTTGCCGACTCACGGGTCCATGGCTTCCTTTCTTTAGTACAAAGGGAAAGTTCAGGTTACTGTTATTGAGATTCAGGGCTCTTATATACAGGTGGCTGTCCTCTGTCCAGGCAGCCCAGGTGTAGTGTACAGCAGGGGCGGACTGACCATTTGGAAACTCGGGCATTGCCCGAGGGCCCGGGGTCAGTAGGGGGCCCCATGAGATGCCCCTGGTACCTTTTTCATAGGCTTTTTTGAGTTTGGGCAAGGACACAGGGGCCCCATGATCCCCTATTGCCCGGGGGCCCCATGAGTTGTCAGTCCGCTCCTGGTGTACAGCCTGTCGTTGACATGAATGGTTTTACGGTGCAAGTTTATGATTGCACCATTGTATAAAGGAATACAGCAGCGTACAACCATTTATGTCAACGATAGGCTGTACACTACACCTGGGCTGCTTGGATAGAGGAAATTCAACTGCAATTACACTAAATGGGCTCAGGCAGTTTGTATGCCGTAGTCCTGGCTTGTTTCTAGAGTTAGCAGAATAACCAGAGGACAACATTTTTATTCAACCTGTTCATCTTGTATTCTGACAACAGCAATATTTATGTCAAAGATAAGGCAAGCAAAGGGATGGGTGGACAAAACACATAGACATCATGTCTTTTCTCCCGGTCAGAGTCTCTGTAAGAACCATGATGCCTGCTGTGTTCTGTCTATCTCATGGAAGATCTTTACCACAGGCCATGCTGGTGTCAGAATATAGTCCGGATGGTCTTGTTCTCTGGAGATGCTCTGCTAACCTCCATTATCCCACCCTATGGAACAAGCAGGTTCTCTACATACTGGCAGAAGCTGTTACTCTCTCTCTCTTTAGATCAAGTGTAGCAGAACAAACTCATTGCCTATCACTGCAGCCAGGAGCTGGAGAATCCCTCAGCTTCTTCTGTTCTGTCCCCTGTATCATAAGGCTGCATTCTCTTGTCTCTTCTCTCTCCCCCTCCCATCCAACTCCTGACCTCTCCTCTGTAGAACTCAAATCATGTGGGCTATGGAAGGGGTGTGGGTGAATTTTGGGAGTGCTCAAAGAATTTTTTGGGGTGATTCTGCATCCCCAATCTCCTACCTGGCGCCGCCCCTGTTCTTGGCTGTAAACATTTTAGAAATTAGGTGATACCCTTTATTGGGTATGACTTAAACTTCAAACTTTTTGCATTAATCGATGGCTTACATGGTTCAAAATTTTAGTGCATTTACTGGACATATAA